AGAACAACAGAAGACACAAGAAATGGTCCTCTCCCTACAGGAGACTGGCTAGCTTGTCGTGACTTAATGTCGCCAGTGTTTATTGCCCCCACCCCCGGGGATACATAGGCTCACACCCCATTCTAAACTTGCTTTTTCTCATAGCCATATATCCTAAGGAACACAGAGGATTCCTTCAGCTATTTTTTTTTTTACAGCTATATAGAATTCCATGTATAAATGTGTCCTTCACCCAGCACCTCTTGACTCAATGTTGGATAGTTTATGGCCACGTGCATTACAAACCGGAGTCATCACCACAGAACGCCACACTGGAAGTACCTAGAAGTGGCTCAAGCCATATCAGGATGTGTAACTTTGACCAAACTTGCCAATTACCATGGCAACAGTACTGTGAACTAGAAGCCTCCTCATTTGCAGGTCATGGTTCAGATCAACAGTGTCTGCTCTCCAATGCCCCCTCCCCACACCCCAAACCATCAATAGTGTCATAAAATCATTCTCATCTCTGTCAATCCGGTCAGTAAGAAATGGCAGCTGTGGGGGAGGGGGGGCGTGGCCTGGGGCTAGCCTGCTTCATTGTGTCTGAGGGAGAGAATCTTAAGGGTGCTTCTGTGATGCCTATAGGTGTGCTATAAACAGGATAATAAAGAAACAAGTACCCAAATGCATGGCGGTCCTTCTGCCAAGTGCAGAACAGATTGCAGGAACCAGAGTGGATGCTGTAAGCCCAGTTGAAGGGGGATGGGAGATAGAGGACAGCAGATGGACTGGAAGCTAAAGAAAGAGGCCTTTGTCAGCTGCCTATGCGTGAGTGTGTGCACGCTCTTCGCAGGAGGGCTGGCGAGGGAGAGGCCCTGCCAGGGTTCCTCTTCATTCTCTGGCTTGCGCGGTGAGAGAGAAGATGGTGCCCTTCCTGGAGAAAGGCAGAGCTGAAGGGGGCCAGGCTGAGGAGGAGGGTGCTCCAATATGTTTCCACGGTTACCATGAGAACCCTGAACTTGCTTTTACTATATCCTGTGCCTTCCTCCTACACCTTAGTGGAGTTTCACATTTTTAACACATGTCTGAGATTGAACATATTTCAAATACCAAGCCAGTAAACCACACACAGAGACCTGCCAGGCCATCTATAGCGTGCAAATTGGGAGGGCTCATTTGCATGAGAAGGCAGTGGGTGGAGGCTGGGAACACCAGAGGGACCTCTCAGCCTCTCTGTGGCTGCTGGAGTAACTTCTGCTAAGGGTACACAGAAGCAGGCTGCTTGAAATTGCTTTTCCTCTATCCTTGCCGGCTTGGGATATGTAAAGGTCTTTGTTTTCTGAGGTCTTTCTGAGCCACGCTGTGCGACACTGGTGTTCTCCGGTTGGCTGCACCAGACTCCAGCTAAGTCCTAGCATCTGCTCTGGATAGTGAGAAAAACAAGTACAGAGAAGAAAATATAGCCGTCACAATGACATTATGTCTATCTCTTGGAACATCAGGCCCTCACTTCAAAATAGCAGCTACGTTAGACGGTGGTCTTGTGTGCCCGCCCGTTCATGTGGTATTTTCCCGGGAACCCCACACTTCTCCCAATGCATCAGCTCGGATTCTTGTCTGTGAGTATTATCCCCAGCTGGCAAAATTCAGGGCATAAACCATTTCCTGCACACCTTTGATCCTGGCACTTGGGAGTCAGAGACAGGTGATCTCTGAGTTCAAGGCCAGTCTGGTCCACAGAGTTTCAAAATAGGCAGGGGTAGATAAAGGGACTCTTACTCAGAAAAGAAGAGGAGGAGGAGGAAAGGAAGGAAGGAAGGAAGGAAGGAAGGAAGGGAGGAAGGAAGGAAGGAAGGAAGGGAGGAAGGAAGGAAAGAAGACAAAAAGGTATAGAGTCCTTCTTGGACTTAAATAGTAATTTTCTCCTTTAGAAAGAAGACAGGCAGACATGGTGGCACGTGCCTGTAATCCCAGCACTTCAGAAAGATGACAGTGAGTTTAAGGTCAGCCTGGGCTACAGAGAAAAACTCAAAAATACAAAGCAAGGGTCTGGGAAGATGGTTTAGAAGTTAAGAACACGAGACACTCTTACCAAAGACCCAAGTGGTTCCCAGAACTCAGGTCAGGCAGCTCAAGGTCACCTGTAACCCCAGATCCAGTGACCTGGTGCCCCCTTCTGGCCTCTTGGTGCAACTGTACATATGCAGTGCACATAAACTCAGAAGTATCCTGGTGCCCGTGTTCTCTCTCTCTCTCTCTCTCTCTCTCTCTCTCTCTCTCTCTCTCAAAAAATCCCAAAACAACAACAACAACTACATACAGAACAGTGTCTATCAAAATCATCACAGTCTGCTTTCAGTTCAGAACACACCACACACAATGTGCTCTCCATAATAAATAAATTCAGTGTTTTAGGGTGGGATATTAAGTAATTACCAAATTATACAATTATTAAAGAATTGTTATTAATGTAATGCAATTATTAAAGAAATGTTATTAATGTAATCAATTGTTATTAATGTAATGTAAAATTAGAAGCACACAGATGGTACTTTGCAGATGATATATAGAATTCACAGAAAATTACATACAATGAGTCAAAAATAACGCATGAGGGGCTAGGAGAGATGGCTCAGAGGTTAAGAGTATGGGCTGTTCTCCCAAAGGACCCAGGATCAACTCCCAGCACTCCCATGGCAAATCACAACCATCTGAAACTTGGCCCCAGCTTATCCAAAGCCTTCCTCTGACATCCAAGGGCACCAGGCCATAGTACATAGACATATATGCAGACAAAACACTCATTCATACAAACAAAATTAAATTCAAAAACTTTTAAGCAATACATGATCTAACAATATTACTATCTATAAGGATAATATGTAAAAATTGACTATAATTCTCTGTATTAACAGAAACAATAAGGCAAAATTCTAGAATAATTCCATTTTTAACATAGCACCAAAAACTATCTCATACACAGGAATAAACTCGAGTGACTAGATGGAGCGTGTAAGACATAAAGTTACGCAATACCATCTGAGGGATTCGACAGAAACCAGCCAAAATCCACAGGCACTTGTGTGTAAGCATGTGAGCCACACACATGTGCACTTGAAGCACTAGTTATAAGAAGGGCAAAGGGCTGAAACAATAGCAATCCACAATTAAGCTGGCATGTTAGTGATTGCAATCGCAGGCATGGATCAGTGTGATGGAGGGAAAATCCAGAAGTAGGCCACACATGGAGTCCTTCAGTTGTCTCTAGAAAGAAACACGGCAAGAGATGGGTCAAGCATTCTCTAGTTAAATAAATGGTCCTCGATCAACTAGATATCCATATGGAAAAGTCAGCTCTTTCTATCTGTACCACACACAAACATTAATTCCATTTGTAGTGTAGCTGTAAACTAACAAACTGTAGAATCAATTGTAAACATTAATCTGCTCTCCTAGTGTTGAGATGGACGGAAACTCTAATGTCCTGCGTGAACGACAGACGTGTCTGATCATTTAAATTAGAAGACTTCTGCTGGTCAGAAAATCCTCACTCAAGAAGAGACAGGCGAGGCACAGGGTGACAAAGATGTCACACTCGGTTTCATGACTTTAGAGGGAACTCTGGAAAATCAGCAAGAAGAAGGCAGACACACAGTGGGAACAACTGGGCGCAAGACTGGACAGGCATGTCACAAACAGAAGAATGCTCAAAAACTTAGAAGCACACCGATGGAGCTCATGCGTAAAAATGGACAAAGTACACAGCAAAGCCACAGCCGGAGGCTGCAGGTGTGAGTCAGCAGTAGGGTGACTACCTGCATGTGCAGGGCCTTGGGCAGAGATTTCACTTCTAGCACTGCAGAAGCAAACAAAACCCACACCGAGTCATTGACTTTTCAGGACAACTAAAACCGAAGAGACAGAGAACTCTAAGTACTAGCCAGGACATTAACCAAAGAGGCCCTCGGAGGGCTGAAGTTTGAGTGTAGGGTGTGCAGTGTGTGTGCACATGTGCATGTGAGTGTGCATGCCTGTGCTCCCACATAAGCCAAAGGAGAGTTCCAGTGTCCTGCTGTCTCTCTTTGCCTTATTCCCTAGAGACAGGGTCTTTCACAGAACCTGGAGTGAGGCTGATGGCCAGTACACTCAAGGGATCCTCCTGTGTAGGTGGAGTTTTCTTTCCTGGCAGTTGTTTCCAAATAACTACTCTGAGGCTTGTATTAATTGTAAATGCTATGCCAATGGCTCAGGCTTATCCCTAACTAGCTCTCAGATTTTAAGTTAATCCGTATCCTTTATTTATGCTCCACCATGTGGTAGTATTTTTTTTTTATTAACACGGCACATTCATCCCCTGCTCCTTTTGCATTCAACTTCTCAGATTCTGCCCTTCCTCATCCCATCACTCTCAGTTTGGTTTTTCTGTCTAACTGTATCCTGCCCAGCTATTGGCCATTCGGCTTGTGTATTATGCCAATCACAATGACATATATTCACAGAGTGTAAAGGACTATTCCACAGACCTCCTGTGTCTGCCATATACCCCCTAGTGCTGTAATAACGGGAGGAGCACATGCATCCATGGTGTGGGAGAATTGTCTGTATTCTGTCAATCATATTTTAATAAAACGCTGATTGGCCAGGCAGGCAGTATAGGCGGGAAAGCCAGACAGGAAGTAGGGGTGGAGCAAAGAGACTGAGAGAATTCTGGGAAGCAGGAAGCTCCCTCCACACTCCTGCGCAGACCACCAAAGAGGCAGCATGTAACTTGCCCAGCTGAGAAATGTACGGAGCCATGTGGCTAATGTAGATAAGGATAATGGGGTAACATAAGTTATAAGAGTTAACAAGAAGCCTGACCTAATGGGCCAATCAGTTTATAATCTTATAGAGATCTCTGTGTGATTGATTTTCTCTGGGACTTGCCGGTTGTGGGGTACCAGGCGGGACAGGTACCCCAACAAACAGGCCCTCATGTTACACATCCAGACCTGATATGTTTCATGTGGATGCTGGGATCCCAACTCAGATCCTCACATGTGCTCAGTAAGTATTCTTACCCACTAAGCCATCCCCCCTGCCCTTACACAATAGTTTTTAAACAACTGCTTAGCAATCGCTATAAAAGCTAAAGACTTACATCTCTATAACTCAGAACTGTGCATAAAGGAATGCTCCCGTTAATATTAATTGCAACTAAGTAATTATAATTAATTAATTACAATGAATTAATACATGATTTGAAAACAGCCTAAGTAGTTTATGTCATTCTGTAAACTTAGAGTTAGTTAGAGTTCAAAATAAAGTTTATGAGTGGTATTAGAAGTTAAGGACTTGGCCACCTCGAGACCTGGAGAGGGAGAAGGATTGGAATAGGTCATCAGGGGATGTGGATGCAGTGAACGATGGATTTGCTTTGTGGGGTTTCTCAGAGCATATGACTCATGCGTACTTCAGAGCAGTAATTACTAAAAGTCAGGACTGTGTTACAGAAGCAAATGTGAGGATAATGCCACATTATAAAATTTATGACAGGAAAAATGAAAGCAATCCAACTGATATTTTTAAAATAAAATTACTTAGACTGCATGTTTATTGATGAGTAAGAATTAGCATGGGTGCCAAGCCATCTAAGGGCTTCCTTCAGCTTCCTGGCAGACACTTTAGTTGCTTAGATGACGTCTCTTACCCCACCTTCCTTGCTGCAGACGGGACAACCATGTGCCTTGTTAAAAACACTCATTTTCAGGTAGGTAAGGAACTACCATAACCTAGCTCCAACCAAAAGATGAAAGTATGATCTTGAGAATTTGGGCTTGTCAGACAGCCAGTAAGTGTGTCTGTTGACTCTCCTCCCTCTATGTCTGAAAGGCAACTGCAGTGGCCACCCTGCCGCGGTGAAGACAGGAGTCACCCAAGACAGAACCAGAAAACTGCAGGACCTTGAAGCCTTCTGCACACCAGCATGACAGGCACGACATGCGGCCTGGATTTCTCTACTGCCTTTGAACAGGTTTCCTGGTTACGCACGCAGTTATGAAGGTCTAGCTGATAAATCCACCAAAACTCTTTAGCAAGCAAAACATCTAGGGAAAAAAAACAATAACAAAAATCAGGAATAATATAATAATGTTTATTTTTAGTGCTACAAATGTGCATTGTATTTGTAACCAAGCAAAAAAAAAAGAATTGGCAGATAAATGTTTGAAAGGAAAGTGGAGAGCTTGTTATTATTCATAGGCAATAGTTTTGCTTCCCTGGCAATTCTAAGAAAACCAATGACAAACTATGAGATGGATTCAGTAAGATGATCCGATACAATACCAAATACATAAAACTCAAAAGATGTACTACGAATATGATTAATCAAAAATAAGACAAACGAAAGCAGTATTAATCACAGAAGCTGGCGTTAACTAAGAAACACAATGGTATGGCTCAGGGAGTGGCCAGATGCACGGTGTCCAGGTCAGGGCATCTGCTTTGTGAGGCTCCGTGGTCCCCTTGCCCCCTTTCATCCACATCCCAGTGCAACCACAACCAAAGTCAATGGATTTGTGTGAAAGCATCCAAGAATGGTCACTCTGATTCTGAGAAATACATTTACAACTTGCTCTCGAGACTTCTTACGTGTCTTTTTGCTGCTGTTGTTGTTGCTTTTGGTGGTCATGTTAGGAGTTTAACCCAAGACCTCACGGATACTGAACACATGCTGTATCACTGAGCTGTGCCCTTAAGTCTTATCACAGATATTAAATAAAATACTGTGATACTAGTTCAGGGACAGGATGGGTCGACAGAAAGTGATAAATAAAATACCCAAGACCAGATACATGTTAGGAGAACATTTTTTAGCTACTGGAAAGAATATTTTGAATAACTAGAGAAATAATTTGTTATTAAGCAAACAGTCCAGGGGAAATTGGCTAATCTATGTGGGAAATAGTTTAAAATAAAACTCAGAACAAAAAAATCCATAAAGGTAATTTTAAATAATTAGAATAAAATACAAGGGAGAGCCTTTAAACTCATTAGAGAGATAATTAAACCCAACCAGGTGAAGAGAGCACCTTAAAATGCAGAACACTCTGTATAGAAAAAAATACAACATTATTGAATCCTACTACCCCAAAGCTTTAAAGTGTGGTCATGAGAGAAGATGATGTTGCAGCAGACAGAGACCATTACTGAAGACCACAACTGATCAACATGCAGAGAACAACTGAACACGGCCTGCCCGGCCCCAAGGCTTCTGCACCCGATGCTTCTGCACACAAGGCTTCTGCACCCGATGCTTCTGCACACAAGGCTTCTGCAC